AGGGGGCTGGGATCGCGAATACAGCGAAATGACGCAACATCCTTGGCGTGATTGGATTTCGCCCTCCCCCAGGAGGTCCACAGGCAGCAGAAAGCGTCATGTCGCGCAGTTGGATCCATGTCAACTTGTCGCGGTCATATAGGCCGGAAAAGTCCTGGATCTGGCGCAAAAGTTCGATGGGAGGCTGGCTACCATAAGTGTCCATTCGAGGCATGTTTAAGTCATCCACGAAAAGGACAATCCTTTTGTTCGCCGGGGCTCCTAATACTCCTTTCTTCTTTTTCTCTAGCTTTGCCTCAATCATCTCCTGTGTCCGGTTGCTGTTTGTCTGGGCCGAGAAATTGAGGAAGACTGGAATGTAGTTCTGTGGCTCGGCTATCCGATTCAGAGTGCCCCGAGCCATGATAGACTGAACGTTCGAGGATAAAAAGGGACATGTAAAGAAGAGAGAAAATGATAAAATATAAGAATGAAGATGACTGGCCTACACAATTTTATAGGAATAAAGAGAGTATTCTTAGATATTGTCATTCTCCATGAATGTTTGATATTATCTATGGTCCGGCCATCCTAGATCACCTAAAATGATTTAATGACTTAAAGTTGAGTTTCCTACGAAGTTCTTATTAAAGAATTACTGATAATTTCGAAACACACTAACACAGAATAAGAGTAACTTGATATATTTTCATCAAATTCCCATTTCTTATCTGATATATAAAAAGCTTGGCTTGATATTAAGGAGACTTAGGGTTCAGTAACACACGAGTACCTGTGGCTGTGTACCAATATGATAACGTGTTGTCAAGCTGCTCATGACCTGGTTTCCCGTGAATGTTGTTGATGAGACCCAAGCGAGGTCAAAAGAGCAGTACGACATGGATGAAGAAGCCTTTTGGGAGACAAGTTTGAGTGAACGTACCTATCATCCCTAGGCAGTCATAGAATTGTGGAGAAAACTCTATTGCCAGTTGTTAGCTCGTCTTAAGCGATCTAGTCTGTTCTTATTAAAGTGGCAAGTCTTATGAGTAATCATATATTAATGAATAAAAATTGGTTTTAATTCTGTATTAACTTGCATGCCATTTTTTTTATTTCAGCGGTGTGCATGAGATAGTTCAAACTAGGCAACAGATAAGCTATAAATGGTCATAATGATTAGTTTATACATTCACTTTTTAATTAGCTAATTAGTCTCTCATGATATCTACGATAACTTGGTATCAGGTGATTTCTAGCCATTAGACAGAGGCTTGTTTAATAAAGCAAACCCATCCTTCTGCAATTCCCAAAAATAATATAATTAAATTTACATACGTTTTAGAACTAGATGATGGCATTTGGTGCCCATCTATTGGTAATGGAGAAGACTACTTTGTTTCGTATGAGGTGTTGAGTAACACTTTTATAGGAACTCGAAGGGTGATTGCTTGTTCAGTGTCCAGATATGTACGGGCTTGACTAGGCCACCATATAGATTACTTGGAGCTCTTCAAGTCTAACTTACTTATCCATAAAAAAGAAACATAGTAGAAATAAAGAATATTTCTAACTGCTCGATTGTCAAGAAAACAATTTGGTTGATATGTTGAAAATGGAGCCTTGCAAGGGAACTATGTAATGAGGACCACTCAGCTTGAGGCAACATTCCAGTCGAAAAACTACAATTTAAGAAATTGTAATTGCATTTCAATTGGAAGCCTTCACTTCTGAGTATTCCGTGTCAGTTGGAACCTGACATGCTTTATGGATTTTCAATCCTTCGATTATCTTGTCATTATTTTAAATAGTGACAAGAATAACGGAGTATATGATCAGATAATGGGATATCTTAAGCTTACTAACTTCAAGACTTTCATTGAATTTTCATATAAAAATAAGCTTTAAAAGGAGGAAGTTGGAACTATTTTTCTCTTTAATTTCAAATTTCCCATTTCTTCACCATCCTGCCTTGAAATCCATCGAGTCAGATTCAACCTTCCTAGGTCCCAAGTAGGCCTGGCGTGCCAAAGTCTTAATGTCCTTTCGTTTAAGGAGGATGCAAACATTTTTGTCAAGTAAACGTATAAAGCAAAGAAGGGATTTTACTCACTATAATTATTAGTAAGTAGGCAAAATAGATTATGCAATATTTCCTATATTGTTAAAATAAATATTAAGTTCATTTGTCAAAATGTGTGGTATGGCGTCTCATTTAATGAACTCTCAAAAAGTGAATTAAGAGAGTCTTTGACCTGTACATTAGCTTCCGTTGTTTTTATTATGCTTTTAGTGTTATTATTATTTTACATAATTTTCACCATTTTTCTCTGAAGCTTTAAGTTAACATCACCAAAATCCACGTAACACTATCTTCTTTGTGGAGACTTGTTGGAACACATTCAAAATGCATTGCTGTTACGAAGCTGTCTTCTACATAGCGGTAGAATCTCATTACGGATCAACCAAGAGATAAGAACGGTGACTTGAGACTGTGGCAACCTGCTAGGCAAACCATAAATGGTCTCCATTTTAGAATGAAACTGATTAGCCAGTTGAAAAATAATATCTTAAAAAGCGTGATTTACAATATGAATCCTACTCTTTGATACTTTTACGTATGACCCTATGCCACACAGAGGCTTCAAATTTGAATCCACAACGACTCTAAATGGGCCAAAAGTAATGAAAGAGACTAAAATTCGATGTGGTGGCTATAGTTATAACTTAAAATCCTGAAGCTATTCAGGATCATGAAATCTCATGCTCTCACCACTTGTAAACCTCTACCTTCTCCAGATGAGAGCGGTAGGCATTGAAAAGCATGCTGGGTTCATCTTCAAGATCTA